CTGGTTTTTGGACTCTCCACATATATACTATGTATTAACAATTAATGAATTAGTAGTAGGGCCAACCCAAATATCCAGAAACAGAAATGTGGTGGCTCTTCTCTGAACAGCCGTGAGCACTATTTCCACAGGCTGCTTCCTGGTTTCATAAGGAAATAACCGAAGGAAAGGGGTGACCTGAGACGCTAAGACTGCATCAGGGCTGGGTCACACAGCAGGTGAGCTCTCCAGTGCTGAAAGTACGGTCTCATTTTGAACATTCAATTGTTAAGTGGTATCTTGAAAGTTACTCAGAATACCTTATGCAGCCGAATTAAAATCCGGAAGAAAGTGTCGATATTTGACTACATTTTGTTTTTCTTTTCAGTAGTGATGTTTTGGAGTTTCATTTTTAAACCGGGCCTGGGCCATCACCAGTAGCTGTTAGAAGAGGCAACCGCCATCTTTAATGACGAGCTAACAATCCCTCTTCTGCAAGGACTCAAATATTTCTCTCTGTAAACATGCAGCATGCTATTGAGGATATCAACTTCCAAGCCAAACCTAGTTTTTTCGTTACTGTGGAATTATCTGAGTGAGACGGATACAACACATGTGATACAGTAGATAACTTGGCACAGATATAAAGTGAGTTGTGACCACACTGTGTGCACATCAGCATGGACACTCACGGCGACGGGCCGGGGCACCCGAGCCGGGCATGTCGGGTGAGCGCGCGGGAGGGCAGCCAGCCGGGGGACGGTTGGTTCTTAGCAGTCCTGAAGGCCCTTCATGCAGCCTGGGTAACTTGACGTTCAAAGTAAAATGTGTGTGTTTCAGAATTGCTGAAAAAAAAAAAAATGACTTTTGTTTTTGAAAAATGCTGCTTTTTAGAAAGGAAAAATTACGACTTGTTTTTCTTTGTTTTATACCAAAGGTCACAGCCGTTTCTCGGCCACACCAGTAGTGCCTGTGGCTTTATTTGCACTTGGCACCTTCCAGGGCCCTGGAGTGATTGGTGTTTTCCTAACGGGAGAAGCGCTCTCAGGTTGGAACCCTCCACCCTCTCTGTTTTTGTCGGCTGCCTCTTGTTCTTTTCCTCGGGGGTCTTCCATTTTGTTTAAAACCATCCTTTCTTCAGGGTCCTGCTTCAGCTTTTCTAATTTTTTGACATTTTCTCCTGTTTTCTCCTTGCTAGAACTTGTCTCTCCCACGGTGGCCTTCTTTCCTTCTTCCGGCTCAGACTCTGGTCTACTAGCAGTGTTGCTAGTCTTTTTGGGCGGGAGAGACTTTTCATCCGTTCTCTTGCTTCTTTTCTGTGGGGACCTTGTCCTGTTTTTCCCAGACTGGCTCTGCTTTGTGTCTTTCCTGGCAGCACCTGATCCTTCCCTGCCGTCCGAGATCTGCTCAGCACCGTCCCTAGCGCGGCCCCCTCCTCTCTGACTCTCAGACTCTAGTCCTCTGGCTTCAGTATTTGGTCGGCCTTTGCTGCCTTCAGTCTTTTGCTGCTTCTTTGGGCTTGAAGATCGTCCCCTGCTTTTTCCAGAGTGATCCTGCCCAGAACCTGCCCTGGTGCCGGTCTGACCACTTTTACTGTCCCCTTTCCTGGGGCTGAGGGACCGATCTCTGGGTCTTCTCTTGGGGTCAGTGGTGGGAGGACTGGGAATCTTGTCCGAACGTTCTTCTGCATGTCGGCTGGCCGGCTTCCTGGGACTAGCAGATCTACCTCTTTGTGTAACGCCAGTTTCTACTTTTAAGAGATTTTTCTTGTCACCATGCCCATGACTGCCGGGTGGATCCCTTTTATTCACATTTTTCTGGAGAAAAGAGTGCTGCTTTTTATCAGGCTGATTTTCATTTAAAGTGCTTTTCTTTTCAGGCACACCGCCCTTTAATTCCTCTGTCTTTTCACATATCTGAGCTCTCATTAAAGATTCTTCAGTTACTGGCATGGGGGACCCCTCAAATACGGAAGCAGAATGTGACGCTGGGGGAAATGGTGACTGCTCATCATAAATCACATTTGAAGACGAAGGATTATTATTAATATCCCAATCACCTACAAAAAGTGATTTGAGGGGAACATTATTAAATTTTAGAATTACAACAAATAGGGACAGGAAGTTTTGAACTTTGACAGCCATTCGAATTGTACTGACTGCTTAAATAGCCTGAGTATGAATATTTCATAAATAAAATCTATGTATGTTACCATCTCTATAAAGTTAGATTACATAGACAGCTGTACTTGTGCACGAAGGGTGGGTTGTTTAAATGTACCCAAAATAACAGTAGTCCTTTTTCCAGTTTATAATTAATTACATAATATATGATACATAAAGTCTTCCTAAGTAGTAAAGCCCAATAAAAAACTTAGAAGAAATAAATAATAAAATTGGACCGAATTACTTGGTCCAAGAAGCTTACTAATTTGGCTGTCATCAAAGGATAGAGCTTATGGATATGCCAAAATCACTAATCAAGGACACCCGACCGAGGTAACCGGAATGAGGTTCGTGGGCATTTACAAATAATTTTCTTGCATTAAGCTGTCAAATTTAATGTCAAAAGGAAACTGAAAAGTGCAGAAGATAGAAAGAGATGTATTTAATAGCATCATTTTTAATTAAAAAGAAAAAAAAAAGAATGAAGTGATTTACAAGACATGCAAATTTACCAAGTCTTTTTAAGGAAAGACCAAGAAAAGCCCTGAAAGCCTTAATGTTGCTCAGGTTTCACGTAGGAGCACAGACCGGAAGGAGCCAAACCTGAAGAAGGAAGAGAAAAGGCCTAGGACTATGTAAAAAAAAAAAAAAAAAAAAAAATCACAGCGCAGTTAGCAAAGATGTCATTGGGAACGTATGGTTTACAAGCAGATGGTGGAAGGTAATAACAGAGAATTATAGGCTGGAAGGGGACCGCAGGAGGTCACGTCTATACTTGTCCCTCAGAAGCTCTACGGGGTCGGGCGGGCGTGCAGAAACTAGAAGGGACAAGTCCTGGTGGTGCGGTACTCTATCTAGGCTAGTGCTCTCAGTTAAAACATGATGTTCAAATCCTGTGGTATTTCAAAAACCTACAACGAAACCAAGGAACCTGAAGCCCAGTGCAGGAGAACAGACAGTCCCATCCATCTCCCTGACGCCAGGTAGGGTCAGAGCAACTTGTTCTCCACAAGGGACCAGAGAAGCCTAAAGTCCTTCTACTCTTCATTGAGAGAAACTTCTCTTCCATTAAGGGAGTAGATCTTACAATGAGGAAGTAAGTGGCATTTGAAGAGATTTCAGACGTTTTTCATGACATTTAAATCACTTGCCTTTGACAGCAACATGCAGAAGGTTGAAACTAGACCACTTTCTCACACCATTCACAAAAATTAAATCACTTGCCTCTGACGTCCTTGTTTTTTTTTTACAAGCGCGTTTCTCTATAAAAGCAACTTACAAGTTTTCTATTGAAATTGCTTAACATATTCCATCCCAACACAAATCACGCCTGAAGCCACTTACTTGGTAATATTCTAATAACCCTGCTGTGTAAGTAGCTTTCGATGGTTCTGGTGTTTACCTTTGAACTAGCCAGCAAAACATCTAGCCCCTTCAAACAGACATTCTTTTTTCTGTCGTCGCCCCCTCCATAACTTTTCAGCTCCAGGTGAGAGCCTTTCCTTACCGTGGTCAGGTATCAGGCCAGTCCCTGGCCTCAAAAGTAGAAGAACTTTATTCCCACCAGCCTGAATGAGTTCAATCGCTCGAGTATGCGTGATGCCTTGTGTAGGTTCCCCATTGATTTCAACAATCTGGTCACCAACCTAGAGAGGGAACATTCACAGGAACAACATGAAACTATGCATCCTCCTTCGATTCTGCTCTGTCCACTCGACAGCCACTCAACCTTACTCATTTGCAAACCGTCTAACTTGTACACGGTGCTGTGTCATTGCTAAAGCTGATGGGCGGATGGATGACCGCAGTGGGAAGAGACAGCGTCCAGCTTTATTTGCTCTGTAGAAATCCTACAGGAGAAAGTCGCATGTGAGGAGGAAACAGGATCCGGGCACCTTGAAATCACAAATGAGATCTGGAGTTTTCAACCAAAAGAGACGTGCCAGAAGAGGTGAGGTCTCGATCCACATGATGCCACAGGGCTGGGTCTGAAGGACCCACTAGGAAGAGTACTTTCCAAGAGGAGTTGAATCTGGAATTTATTTTCTAAAACCCGGGCTGGTGGCTCCTCATCGTGGAAGCCCTTCCTGGCCTCCACGGAGAACTGCCCCCTCCCCTTCATGTTGCCAGCACAGCCTGTAGATGTATGAGGCACTAGATGAATGAAATGTTCGGAGATAAAACCTTCAGCTTGGAGAATATATCCATATGAATACTGATTTAAAACCGGTAACGGGCGTATGCTCGTGACTTCAGTGTAAAATAATTTCCCTAGGTAACATAAAACCAGGGACCAGAATGAGATGCCTCAGTACCTCTGCTATTTACTAGAAATGCTGTCTAGGTATTTCAAAAGAAAAGGGGGAAACATGGATACGTCAAGTGTCACTTTTGCAAAAGGACCTGATAAAAGATAACGATGGTAGTGATTTTAAAATACATTTCAGCAGCGCCCGGGTGGCTTAGTCAAGTGTCTGACTCCTGATTTCAGCTCATAGTTGGTAAGATCGAGCCCCGGGGCGCCTGGGTGGCACAGTCGGTTAAGCGTCCGACTTCAGCCAGGTCACGATGTCGCGGTCCGTGAGTTCGAGCCCCGTGTCAGGCTCTGGCCTGATGGCTCAGAGCCTGCTTGGGATTTTCTCACTCTGCCCCTCCCCAACTCATGTGCACGTGCTCTCTCTCAAAATAAATAAAATGTTTCAAGGTGACAAGCAGAGGCTTGTTTGGCTTTAAAAGAGATAAACCGAGGGGTGCCTGGGTGACTCAGTCGGTTAAGTGTCCAATTTCAGTTCAGGTCATGATCTCGTGGTTTGTGAGTTCCAGCCCCACATCAGGCTCCATATTGACAGCTCAGAGCCTGGAGCCTGCTTCGCATTCTGTGTCTCCCTCTCTCTCTCTCTGCCCCTCCCCTACCCCGACCCTGTCTCTCTCTCAAAAACAGACATTAAAAAAATCAAAACAGCGAACAATGGAAAACTACTGACATTCCAAACAGCTCAAAAATTTGTAAGAGCTTACGAAAACAATCCAGAAATAACAACAGAAGATGACTCAATAATTATTTAACAGAAGCTGGTAGGAAAGTCTGTAGCCACAGATACAGCAAAGCCCAGTGGCCAGGAAGCAGGGCCTTGGAGTCATAATGTCTGTGGTTCACCCCTGGCTCCACCTCCAGCTGGCGGAGGGTCTCATTTTCCTCTCTGTGAAATGGGGACAATATTAGTACCCACCTCCTGGGGTCCGGGCGGGGATTTAATGAGCTAAAACCTGGTGACACACCAAACACAAGCAGATGTTCCTTTTCAAGTTATCTACTTCCTGGTTTTCCCCAAAAGGACCTCAAGTGCATCAGGAGGAAGATCTACCCGAGCTCGTCCCCCACTGTATACACCACAAAACATGTCAACTATGAAAAAGAAAACAGATTAAAAGGTTTTGTTGCAGGGGCGCCTGGGTGGCGCAGTCGGTTAAGCGTCCGACTTCAGCCAGGTCACGATCTTGCGGTCTGTGAGTTCGAGCCCCGCGTCGGGCTCTGGGCTGATGGCTCAGAGCCTGGAGCCTGTTTCTGATTCTGTGTCTCCCTCTCTCTCTGCCCCTCCCCCGTTCATGCTCTGTCTCTCTCTGTCCCAAAAATAAATAAAGGTTGAAAAAAAATTAAAAAAAAAAGGTTTTGTTGCATATTTATGAAAAAAAAAAAAAAAGGAATCTCTTGAATAATTGGAGGGTATGACAAGATAAGTGGACTTAACAGAGGAGAAAAAACTTAAAAAAAAACCTAACCAAAATAAGATAATAAACATAAGATGGAAAAAAGTAATAAACAGAATAAAAATACTTATATCCAGAATATATGAGTGAGATAAAAGCTAATACCCAGATTTCCCTTAATAATAAGTGATTGAAGAAAAATAATTTGTATGAGGAAATACAAACGGCAAGTGACAAATCAGTCCTGCTGATTAATGAGACAAATGGAAATTAAGGTAGACGGTATTCGGAGCGTGCTTTGGGCGTATCTTGTAAAACATGACTGAGGTTTCCCTTAATTGCAGTCACATTCTTTGGCTTAACTTCAGTGTCCTAAGCTGCATATTTCTGATTCTTTCGGTACAACGAATAAATTGCAATAAAGCTTGTTATTCAACAGATTTGCCACCAGGTGTCATTTTTGTTTAACTTTAAAACTACATTGCGGGAAGGAGACTAGAACCCCATGGCTTTCAAATTTGTGGCAGACAGGCCCTCAGAGCAGGGAAGAGTCCTCGACTGGTCTATACAAAGCCGCAGACAAAAAAATGGCACTTGTGAGAGGGAAACGTGAATATTCTTTGAAGATTCTGTTGTTTAAAATGAAGAATGCATCTTTTGATAAATAGAACAAATAACAGTTCAAGTTTGTGTTACTGAGAAATGAAATTATGGGGGACAGAGGAGAGGAGAGAGAAAGCAAAGAAAGGAACAAAGGAGAATAGGAGAACCAAAGGAAGAAGTAGGAAGAGGGGACACAGAAAAATTATGCTCCTCAAAAAAGTTACTCTGTCAACCACAGCCACTACAGTTTATATTAAAATTACACAAGGTTTCTAGCACATTGCTTACATCCTCTTAGAAGGCGCTGAGAACCTCTATACTTCCCTGGAACAATCTAATCCAGACAGGCATGAGCCGTGGCCTGACGTGAAAACACCCGGGCTGGGCTCACAGGACCAAAGATCTGGGCCACACCACGGCCGTCACAGGCTGAGTGAGGCCAGCAAGGGACTTAGTCTCCCAGAGCCTCAGTTTTACATCTATAAGTGGGGAAAATGCCACCTACCTTAAAGGGTTTTTGTGGGGCTAAAACTAAGTGAAAACACATGTTACCTGGAAGACGACAGATGACAGTCTCTAAATCTGATTCTGTCCTGCAGTAAAGATCTAACTAAATCTGACACTATTCCCGAATGTGAGACTTTCCCACTCAGCTGATCTCATTGCCTTTACCCGGAACACCTTTTTCTGTCCTCCTCGGATCTCGACCAGATTTACGGATGGCTTAGGACTCACTAAACGTACAGATGCCCCTGACTCTCAGCGTTCTTCCGTCTGTATCACAGGCTCCCATTTTCTTTTTTTCCTGAATGACGCTATTACATCGCCTGCTAACTACTTCATCTATCTCATGTCCTGTCTACCCAGTAATAAGTTTTGGGAGCTGATTTTGAAAAAAAAAAAAAAACAAAAAACAATTCTCTCATTAGGATTTGTCATCCATTCTACACTTCCAACAAATGTATACAGAGCATCTAGTATGAATATTCAGGCCCCAGATCAGGGCTGAAGATACTGGAGGGGTGGGTGCCTGGGTGGCTCAGTTGGTTGAGTGTCTGACTCTTGATTTCGGCTCAGGTCATGATCCCAGGATCGTGGGATCAAGCCCCGCGTCGGGCTCTTCACTGGGCAAGGAGCCTGCTCGAGATTCTCCCTCCCCCCACCCCCCTTTCTCTCTCTCTCTGTCTCTGCCCCGCTCTCCTGCTTGCCCTCTCTCTCTCTAAAAATAAAAGGACTGAAGATACTGAAATAAACACTAGGCACAGGACACAAAGTACAGATATCGGCCTAACAAAGAGAGGGAGGAGAGAAGGGAGGCAGGAGGATGGGGCAGAACGGGATGCCCAGGTCGCCCTGCAGTGTGAGTTTGCTGGAGATAAACTCTCATCATTTGGGCGGTGGCACCAGAGTAAGCTGTCATTAGTACAAAGCAGCCATGATCCTTAGCAAGTCAAGATTTTGATAACTTAAGCAGCCAGAGAAAGAATTCTTCTCTGAAAAGCTGATTTCTTAGAGTTTGCAACAAACCTGGGCATGGTAGTAATAGCTCCCTTTCAAACATCAGATCTTACTTTTGAAATGAGAGTTGATTTAACCCTGAAGGTCCGAAGCTCCCATTCATTTGTAAAGAATGACATGGTTTAGAAACAGACTTTGTCTGCTTTAAGGCCTGCTTGCCTTTTATTTGTTTCGTGAGATCAGTGCATCTGAGGGTTATATTTGGAACCAACTTTTGAAAATTATATCTTAGTTTTTGGGGCTCCTGGGTGGCTCAGTCATGATCTCGCAGTTGGCGAGTTCGAGCCCCGCATCGGGCTCTGTGCTGACAGCTCAGAGCCTGGAGCCTGTTTCGGATTCTGTGTCTCCCTCTGTCTCTACCCCTCCCCTGCTCATGCTCTGTCTCTCTCTGTCTCAAAAATAAACATTAAAAAAAGTTAAAAAAAAAACTTTAAAAATTACATCCTAGTTTTTTGTTTGATTGGTTTTTTTGTGACAATACAATGGGAGATTTTTTTAAAAACCGGCAGATTTAAAGTATACCCAGATTTAAAAAAAAAAAAAAAAAGAGAGAGGGAAGAAAAAAGACCACGTTCTCTCTACTGAAACCCTAACCCACTTTCTAATGCCACTCTCCACTCATGAAATCTCCACTCACAGCCACTCATACTCCCCGCCTTTTGACCTTGTGCACAGGTCTGGTCATTTGAAGAGGGGTGGGGTCTTATTTGGTTTAGGGCCACCCCTCCTCCCAGTTCATTCAGTTCTCACTCATAAAGCTTTGGGTAAAGCAGACACTTGACACATGTTTACAAAATGAGTCATGGGAACGGGGCAGTGATGTGGAAAATTCAGAACTGCAATCATTATTAGAATATACCATCTGATTAAAAAAAAATTATCTTCCCAGATGCCAACTGGTGGCAGAGGGAGGAAGTCCAAAGTTCTCTTGAGTAGTAGGGGGAGGCTGTCTGGAATTTAAAATTTAATGTACGTTAAATGTAAAATCTAACGTATAAAGTAACGGGATGCCAGTGGGCTATTTTTTTAAAAAACTAAAGCCAGCACACGTCCCCTCTATAAGATTCCTCTTTAAGTAATGTTCAGAGAAAGAGGGAAAATACCTTATGTGCAGACCCATAAACAATCTGGTCTGCAGTTGCCCTGTCCAAAGCTAGTGTTTCAGAATTGAGGGCAACTATGATGGATCATGACCCATGCGAATTCTAGTCTTTCAGATCATAGTAAAGGTTCGGAGAGTCATGCTTTTTGATCTCTGGCTACCTCCGTAGGGTAGCTAGGAGGAAAAAAAAAAAAAAATCCTGGGCCTATTATTTCTGGAAAGAAGTTGAAGATTCTGTTTTATCCTGGCTTTTCCAAGACTTTTAATAAGATGAAAAGGATATTTTATTTATGAGTCCATTTGCCCTCAAATGTGGATGATGTCAGTAAAAAGTAAATTTCCTTATGGACCAAAGTCAAGACGGCGAGGACAGCGTCACCGAGCTACAGCCTAGCACTCTCGAGGGAGGACACGGAATCGCCAGGGGTCAGAGCGTCAAACCAGGAGCGGCTGCTCTCAGGTTCTGTGATGGAAAAACCTGGCTGCTTAGCTCTGGGGGGTTTCCGCACTCCCTTTGATCAACTGTTTTCAGTAGTTCCCAGTCTGGAGCCAGAAGCAAAGGCTGTGGACGGAAGCGAACTCACGTGGATCCTGCCGTCTTTGATGGCGGGGCCCTCCTCAGCCAGACGCAGGATGAACAGCCCCATGTTGTACTCCTTCCCCCCGCGGAGGCTGAACCCAAATCCCCGGGGGCCTCGCTCTAGCTCCACTGGGTAACAGCCAAGGCTCTGGGAGAGAAAGAGCGTAAGGAAAACAAGTTTTTGTGGACTGCTTTAGTGACAGTTTGAAGAAAGACTACCTTTGTCGCTGGGAGACAGCATTTATACAGTCCGTGTGCATTTCTAGATCATAAGAAAGGAATGGGAGTTTGGGTTGAAGAGCTACCTAATTTTTTACAAATGCAGCCCAAGTTAATGTGAAGATTATATGTTTTTTCCCCCACTATTTGGTCAATGGGCAACAGAACTATCAGAGAAAAGAGTTTGGAGCAATGCTTCCTTTAAGGAGATTATGACTAATTTTCCTGAAAAAAGAAAAAAACAAAAAACAAAAAACCCAAACCCAAACCCTACTTTGATGAAATCAAACCCTGCTATTTCTAAGTACCTGACTGGGGGTGCTTATTTCTCCAACGTCAGGGTAAGCTTTTTTACCCTTTACACTCTCTCAGGGAAGCTAAGGGAATGCCAAACACATAGCAAGACATTTGGGGGATGAATGTATCCGAACTGATTTGCAAGACAAATTCACCAGTGTTGGGCCACCGGGTGGCTCAATCGGTTGAGCGTCCGACTCTTGATTTTGCCCTAGGTCGTGATCTCACGGTTCGTGAGATCGGGCCTCATGTCGGGCTCTGCGCTGACAGTGCTGAGCCTGCCTGGGGTTCTCTCTCTCTCTCTGCTCCTTCCCTGCATGTGCTCACATGCACATTCTCTCTCTCAAAATAAATAAAAACAATAAAAGGCTTTCCCTAGGTTCTCTAAAAAGAAAAACTCACCAGTGTCAGCGGTTTAGCCACTGAAAAGAACAGTTTGCACCTGGGGATAGCTGCTTACCTGATTGTGCCTGCTGCCTATGACGGAAATCATGGCAGCGTCAGGCTGGGCAAGGTGCTTGTGGTCAGACCATGAGTGTCGGTAAGAGGCGGAGACGTCTTTCCCGATTTCGCCTTCTATGGCACCTCTACGAACAGAGAAATCCAGTCACTCCCGGGACGGAGAGAATGAAAACACTCTGAAAGCCAAGGCAGGTTAGTCTCTTTTCAAAGCTGAGCTTGCCACTCTCCCGACCGGCCGCCGGAAAGGCAGACTGCGTCGAGAGCCAGAGACGCTAGGTGCGTCTGGCGGTCAACAGCCGTGTCAGCTCTGTCCACATCCCACGTTGGTTTGGTCTGGTTTTTATTTTGAGGGCGTCTCGGTGCAGTTTTTATCAAGGAAAGCTGCACTCAAGCAGCTGAACCAGAGGGCAGAGGAGCTGACCCTGCCGGGGAGAAATAGCTCTCCGCAGCGTCGATGCCCGCGGAGATGCTGAATTTGTGACAACCTCGCTTTTGTTTCGTGGCTAATATTTTCAACAAAAGAGGTGAGGAAGTGCCTACAGGTGCCACTCGGGCAGGCTGAGAAGACAGCAATGCGTGTGGGTCTGGGGTTCCCTGCCAAAATCAGGGGGACCGAGCGTGGCGGAGCCAGAGGCTGCTGTCGCTTCTTTCTCTCCAGT